ATCCGTAAGACAATAAGAGAAACTTGACCCACGTGAGGTCAAACTCACGGCTCTTGATGGGGCCTCGCAACTACGGGTGTTGACTATACCTAAGCTTCATCCTTACTGCCGTGGGTTCTAATCCAAGGGTGGTCTCGAGCTTTCACTTTTGGATCTAATAAATTCCCCACAATGTACTAGTATTTTCATTTCCAAAGTATTTGTGTAAGTAGAAGATTTGCCACATAGGTGTCCGGCCGCGCCTGAAGGTAAGGACCCTGCATTGTCTTTTAGCGCTTGCTTATCAGTCCCTTCTGATGACGAAAGTCATTCTCATGGCATGGCGACTATCCTTCGAGGAAACACTAGAAGATGAAGTACCGTGCGCCACCGATCTAACCAAATTGATATTGTTTCAGGAAACAAGAATTGCGGAGAGAGCAGCCATTTCCATTCCGTGTCGATAAATTTTTCGGACAATAATAACTGTCGCTCCCGTTTTCGTTCCTTTGCCGCTGCGTAAGCTCAATGAGAGGGCGAAGTCAATTTGATAGAAGGGAGTGAGGACGGGTAGGCATCGCAGTGCTTCTTTACCAGCTCTGGGTGACGCCCTCGCTACTGCGGCAGCAGCCGCCGCGGCCGAATAATCGGAGGCAGAGAGGGTGGGGTTGGGGAGGAGAAAGCAAGCTATTTATGGGAGACCGTTTACAGATCACTTCCCAGCGATGAGGCCAGCAGTGCCCCCCTCCCGTAAATGACATCCCATCGTCGCGAAAGAAGACGTCGGAGGTGGACACAGCACAGGTGAGTTTGCGTGTGAAGCAGACAGAATTTCACAGCATCAAACGCACTCTCTCATCTCTCTCACTCGCGACCACCTGCCTCTAATGAGCAATACCCAGACGGCAGAACGTGGGCGCTTTACATAACCCTGTTACGGGTCAGCTGGTGGGAGAATACGCAACTCGCCAAAGCAGGACTTGAGAATGTTTGCCGAAGCAAGTAATGTGAAAAAGATGAGGGTGTATGACTTCCACAGCATCGGCACCGCTCGCTTCCAAACAACTGCCCAGTCTCGCGACGGGCGAGGAAGTAGACAGTGGCTTAACTGAAACACAAGCTCCCGCCTACGCGTGCTGCGGTACGAATGCATTCTCGTCCGTAAATGTTAAAGGCTTCACATACACACTCGTTGGCAGGTTAGAGGAGGCATAGTCAGCGCACGCAGACCGAAACCAACCATCAGGCGTCAGGAAATGAGGTCGCAAGAACTTTTGCGCCCCGACTGCGAACGTTTAGATCAGGTGCAACTGTGGGCAAAGCAGCTACGTGGGACAGACCAGGGGATTGCTTCGCACGCAGAGGGCCAAAATGAGGAGGAGTGATGTTAAATCTCAAGTCGCGGCGCATTCGACAGGACAGACCATACGTTCAAGTTCCATGAGGTAAATAATGACGCAGATGGGGATATGCAAGGCCTTATCGCATTCTGTAGGACTGCTTGAGATGAAGGCACGAAACTCTAATTTGGATAGGTGCGTCCACTAACCACTTATCTGTTAGTATCCCTAGTGCTGTGCTTCAGTGTGCATAGGAAACGTGGGGAGAATAAAATGTTCGTACTGGTGATCGACCCTTCCTCCTCTTAGGGACCCAAACCACCATCAAAAGAAATAAAGTAGAATAGGGAGGGTGGGGGGGGTGGTTGGCAGATTTACTCAACTCAGTTGACCAATTGTGAAAAATTCGTGGCCTCTGTGGAGGACGAACCCACACAACGGGGAAGGCTTTCGCGCAGCCAACGCTCTACCATTGAGCTACGAGGCTCACCATGAGCCGTGAATTTAATCATACTTGGGTAGATTTACCCGCCCAACCTACTGCTCGTATGGAATCCACCATTACGGAACAGCAAACTGACTGACCAGACAGGATTTTTTAAGCAATCATCTAGAATCCACCAGAATGACTACTAGGTTAACTTAATTCTTAGGGGGGTCGGATTCCAAACATAATTAAGTAGCCTTGTAAGTTGGTCGTTGTAAAATCAACGCATGTGTGATTAAATTCACGGCTCACGCCAAGCCTCGTTACCGTAGCCACCCACAAGACCGCAGTGAGGTTGTGGCTGACCAATATCACAATTTAGTTACTCCGTTATAATGATTCCCTATAACCTCTAATGAAGCACGAAGACAAAGTCACAAAGAACAGTTAGTTCCCTATGTCTCTGCTCGAGCCTTATCGTATATTTCTGACACAAACACGTACTAGCCGAGACCGCCGGTGAGTTAATGCTTCCGTCCAGTTACTTATGAAACATGAACGATGTCCGTACGACTGTGTTGGTATATCCCAGGAGGATATCCGCCTATGAGCCCCAGTGTGTAGGAGTGATTGGTGGTTGTTCACACGGTACCTGAGCCTATCATGGCCTGCTATAAGTCGTGGCTAGGGCAAATGCCAACTGACACAAGAACTCGGTCCCCATAATGAATATACTGCGGTGGCTGGAGGGCAGAGGG